GGATGCGGCCACATGCCAAGGAATGCCTGCAACCACTAGGGATGGGAAGAGGCAAAGAGGGAGTCTCCCCTGGACATTTTGAAGAAACCTAGCCTTACAGACACTTTAATTTCCATGTCATAACCTCCAGGTGTGGTGCACATTAAATTCTTGCTGTTTTAAGACACCAGTTTGTGGTGCTTTACTATAAATGACCTAGGTAGTGAAGAGGGGATTCTAGTGGCACGCTCCATACAGAGATGTGCTGCTAACCCAGTGACTGAACATCTCAGGTGGCTTGAAACTACCAACAGCTTCACAGGAGAGAGACGGCCATCTCCTCCCTTTGTGATTTACAGCCTCAGAAACTCGGTGAAGGCTAACTAACGCGATGGCAGTGAATTGTCTGACAACGTGTCGGTAGTGACATAAAATCATACACAGTGGCAGTAGCCGCACATTTAGAAAGTGGATCCTGCTTCATACTAGGAAGACAGAAACAACAGCTATTAACACACATGATCCTCCAACCGAGCAGCCACATGACCAGAAAAAGGGGAAGCAGAGGTAGGAATCTGCCACCAGACTCAAGGACCGGTGGTGTGGCCAGGAGGGTTTCCCTGCTAAGCCAGACTGTGCATCCAGACTTGTGGTTAAAATCCATCAGCAGCTCCAGTGGGAAAAGATGGTCAATCTCTTCCTACTCGACAGCCTCAGCAAACCAGCGGAAGGTGCTGCTGCAGATCAGTGCCGACTCACTGGCAATGAGAGAGGCGGGAAAAGGAAGAGCTGGCGTGCGCTGGTGGCACAGTGTTTAAGCACTCAGCTGCCAGCCAAAAGGTAGGTGGTTTGAAATTAGCAGCTGTGGGAGAAAAGTGTGGCACTCTGCTTCCATCAAGATTCACAACCTTGCAAATCGTATGGGCCTGTTCTACTCTGCCCTACAGAACACAGTGTATTCCAAATGGAATTTGAAATTTTAGGTTCTAAGTTGTGTTGTTGGTTTTTTTTAAATTTTATTATGAAAAAACATGTTGGGGATACATGGAGGTGAGGGTTGGGAGCAGAAGGGTGAAAATTGCAGGGATGCAGTTGCAAAGCTGCACAATTTGGTTGGTGGGGAGAGCAGGTGAAGGAAATGAAAAGGATCCAGTGGGGACCAGATGATTCTGGACAATGGTAAGCATAGCCCAATGTTGATTAAACAAACTGATTTTTTCACTTGTGTGTTTCTCATTTGGGAATTGGGCACAGATTCTCTAGCTTCTTCATGCTGAACAGGGGCGTGGATGTGAAGGGGGAAAGGGAGCACACTTTGTCACCTTGCTGGTGGTCTTGGGTTGAAGCTGCTTGCCTTCTTGTTCTGTCAGAAGATGTTTTCCTGACATTTGCTGCCCTCTGGACTGCAAAGGGTTTTCCCAGGTGGGTCCAGTGTGGATGGCTGACTGAACCCTGAGGCTCCATCCTCCTTTGCTTCCTTAACTGGCTGTTGTATTTCCTTTTTTGTCTCTGGAACTGGGTTCAGGGTCAAGTCTGGAGTAAAACTTAGTGTTAAAGTTACCTATAGAAAAGGGAGCAACTCTAGAGAGAACAAACTTGTGAATTACAAATAGAAGGGCTTTGGGGGTGTTACTTACGGGTGTACTGGGGGAGAGGGTGGAAGAAAGTAGCCTCGATAAAATTGTCTGTATATCCTAGGCAGTTTTTCTATCCAGGGGTCTGATGGTACAATCCGAGGGCTGAGGAGCTCATCCCACAGCCAGCCGGGGGCCAAACGCATGGCTCGCCCTGCTGCCTAAGTTGTTTTTTTTTATTTTATTTTGTTTTGTTTTGTTATAGCCCCTTAACCCTTCAGCTTGCAAACTGATGCTAGGTTATTCTCTTTTAGATCTGTGAGAAGAAACACCACAAAAAAGCCTACAATTAGTGTAAATGAGGTGGTATTAATTAGAATCCCTCAACTGTGTAGTACAACTAGACTCTACAAGAAATTCAGGTCAGAACCAAGACTGTCACTAGATTTCATAAGAAATCCTTAGTGCAATGAATGCACTTTACAAAAATGATGGCACTTTACAAAAACAAAAGCCTTCTCATTGTAATCTGTGTAAAAGCTTACAGAGCAAATTTGTTTCCCAGTCAACAGTTAACACACGTTTTATAATACTGAGCACAGGCCCACACGTAACAGCACTCTTTCTACCTGCTCCAGTTCTCTCCTTTCCATTCATCTTTGTTTCCTAATCTTTCCTGCCTGCTGAGCTTTATCCTTGGGCAAATGGTGCCCTTTTGAGCTTGTATGATTCATTGATCTAAGGAGTGTTCCTTCCTCGTGTTACTGGTCGCCTTATAAGCCATTCCTTTGTGTGTCTGCAAGTTGAGTCACAGGCAGTGAATCGCTTTTATAAAGCTTTGCTAACCATGGTTTCATAATTCCCACAAAATGATTGGCTGGGGATATGCAAATAATATGTGCAAAACTCTTGCAGGGATTAGAAAGTTTACCATGACTGGTGGCCTAGTGATAAGCAGTTATACTGCCAACTCAAAAGCACGTGGTTGAATCCGTGGAAAAAAGAACGTCAGTCACCTCCCATGTGATATACACCCTCCAAAAACCCACTGGAGGGTCAGGTGTGAGGCTGTTTAGACTGAACAGCTTGTAATAACAAGAACATGCAAACAAGGCAATGGTGTCCTACCAAAGGGATTGAAGTTGTACTGCTAACACAGAGGCAGCACTTCCCTAGTGGCCTGAAGCCATCAGCAGCTCCGACAGAGAAGATGGGCAATCTTCTCCCATGTGATTTACAGTCTCTGAAAACTGGAGGGTCAGCTATGAGTCAGTTCAAACTCAATGACAATGAGAGAGAAAAAGAGGTGATCTAAAAGAGTGTGGGAATTATCAAATAATATCACATGAGAGAAAAATCCTGCTGAAGATCATCCAAAAAAAGAATGGATCAGTACATTGACAAAGAACTACCAGAAATACAAGCTCTTCTAAAAGAGGTCATGGCACTAGAAATCTTGGCTGAAAGCAAAGAGTACCAGAGGAATGTCCATTATTGGGTTTCGTTGTTTCAGTACTTTCATACTGTGTTTCGTTACTTTCATACTGTTTTTAATTGACTATGCAAAGGCATTTGACTGTGTGGATCTCAACAAATTATGACTACACTTGAGAAGAATGAGAATCTCAGAATACTTGATAGTGCTTATGCAAAACCTATACTTGGACCAGGAAGCAGTCCTTAGAACAGAGCAAGGAAACACTGGATGGTTCAAAATCAGGAAAGAATGCAACAAGGATGTGTTCATAAAAAAAAAATAAATAAATAAAAATAAAAGGATGTGTTCATTTCATAAAAAAAAAATAAATAAATAAAAATAAAAGGATGTGTTCATGTATGTGTTTTAATCTGTATGCAGAACAGATCATTTGGGAGGTAAGCTTTATGAGCAGGAATGTGGAATCAGTATCAGCAACAACCTGTGTTATGCATATGACACAACGTTACTTGCTGAAACTGAGAAGGATCTGAAGCATTTGCTGCAGGTAACAGACTGTAGGCCTCAATACAGATTAAAGCTTAACATTGACAAAGAGTCTCACCATTGGGCCAATTGGCAGCATCATGACAGATCAAGAAGAGACTGAGATTGTTAACAATTTCCACTTTCTCAGCTCCACAATCAACACTTTGGCACCAGCACTCAGGAAACCAAAAGATAAACGGTAGTGGGAAAATATGTCTTCTGGGACCTCTCCAGGGTGCTTGTTGTTGTTATGTGTTATGAGTCGTTTGCAACTCATAGTGACCCT